AAAAAAAAAAAATTGACAGTTCTTAGAATGATTAGACACTTTTATCTCCCTCGCCTTAGAACTTGTAAGATGCGTGGACTTGCCCAGCATTTCCTGGGCTCTCCCATAAATCAGGGTCTTTAGGTATTTCAAGGCGCTTTGTGGAATCAAGGGAAGAGAGGTGGCTCTCCAGTCAGGAGACCTGGCCTCTGGTCCTCATCTGGCTGTTTAATAATTGGGCAACTCAGCCAGCCAGATTTGGGGACTCTTGTTTCCTCACTAGAAGGTTCAGTTAATGATTTTGAAAATCCCTTCCAGCTCTCAAACTCTTTGACACTAAGCGAAATGAAAACTTGTTTACTTTTAGTACCTCTCAGGCAGGGAAACAAATAAATGTATTATGTACCAAAGAACCAGGGCACGGTGACAAAAGATAGAAAAGTTGGAAATGGTTTTGATTTTTTGAATACTCAAGCATTATAATAGTGAGGAAAGAAGGGGAGCTAGAATTCATAAAAACTAATGTCTAATTGTGATTTTAAAAGTTCTGGAGAATAGCGGTGTCTACTTTTTAGAGAAAACAACCTCCCAGAAAATGTCTCCACATCTAGTTTCTTACTTAAGTCATCTATGTATTTTCTAGAATATTTTTTAAAAAATGTGGCCCCATGATTTCCCTTAATTCCTTACTCAATATTGAACAGTCTTTTCTGTCAAAAAATTCTTTATTTGGTTTTGTCAGGGAGCCCCAAACCAAGCTATATGTAGTCTGTTTTGTGGTGTGGACAAGCTTCTCCCCATGGGTATATAGCTCAACCACTGCTGGTGCAAACCAAATTCTCTATGCTGCAGTGTAAACCCTCCTGCAAAGGGAGAACGTCCATTTCCTGAGCAGCAACCACTTTGAAATAGCTTCTGCAGTCTGAGGTTATTATGTTGCTGTTCGTTTTTTTGTGTTGCTCTTTCCCGAGTCTCACAGCTAATCTTTTTAAATGTTTCTGGGACTCTGACCTGCATTTGTTTTTGCCACTCACCACTGTGTCATCACAGACAGTTCGGCCAGCTCGCCCTGGATGTGCTGGAGAAGGCATTCAAGCAGAATGAAAGAATGGCCATGAAACTGTTGACCTATGAACTCAAGAACTGGAGCAATTCTACCTGTCTGAAACTGGCCGCGTCTGGAAGATTGCGGCCCTTCGTTTCGCATACTTGCACCCAAATGCTACTGACAGACATGTGGACCGGGCGCCTGAAAATGAGGAAGAACTCTTGGTTAAAGGTACACTGACTTACAGAGAACAAACTGGTGGTTGCCAGCGGGGAGGGTGTAGGGGGTTGGGCAAAATGGGTGAAGGGGAGTGGGAGACACAGGCTTCCAGTGATGGACTGAATAAGTCACAGGGATGACAGTGGACCATAGGGAATAGAGTCAGTGGTATTGTGATCATGTTGTATGGAGACAGATGGTAGCTACAATGGGCAGTGAGCACAGCGTAACCTAGAGGTGTCAAATCACTGTTCTGTACACCAGAAACTAATGTAAACTTGTGTGTCTACTTCAATTTAAAAAAAGTATATTTACTTTCTAGAATTTAATATTTGTTTACTCTGAAGGTCTGTACTCTTGAGTTCATTTTTCCCTTGTTCTGGAAGAATCAATTCAGGAAAACCAGTTAGTATCTTTGGTTCTCACAGATGAGCTGGGATCTCCCCAGTGGAACCTCAGACAACGACGTTAATAGCCTTTTTAATGAAACAAATTTCAGCTTAGGAATATTAATCAATAATACACCAAATAAAATTAGCAATTGCTGTTCTGTTCATCCAATGTGATGTTTGAGGGAATAGATGCTCATTTTATAAAGCTGCCCTGAAACACCTATTTCCAGATTCTTCTATCCGTTATAGTTTGGCCTCACCTCTCATCTTGAATTATCAAGAATAATTTAGTTAACTACTAAAGACATTTAACTTTTGACATCACACCTAAGCCTAAAGCTTTAGGTTATGGTCAAGCTTATGAAGTACATATGCTTATAAAACTGAATAAAAGGGGATAAAGCATGAGCATGAAAAGCAACATTAGACTATATATTTTATTTATTTTTTTTAAGATTTTATTTGTTTATTTGAAGGGGGAGATAGGGAGAGCAGGAACACAAGCAGGGGGAG